CATTGAGGACTACCCATTGAGTGTGGTTGGTCAGCCAGTTAAGAATCCATCTGGTGGTGATACTGTCTAACCCACATTTTTCTGTGTAACTGTTGTAAGTTGTAAGTTGAGTACATGTTCACCAAGCATATTTCCAGCAAAAGTTTATACATTCTAGACAGTTTTTCTAATGACGTAGTAACAATTCCTCATTATATAAAAATTATCTTTAAGACTATAACATAAATTTCAATCCTTTCAACCACATATTCTCCCTTTGATCCATGTGTATGTTGTACATTCTTTTACTTATTCTTCTGTTTCATATTTCAATAACATTTATACATTTTAGCAATAATATGATCACCATTTGTGCACAGTTCCATTTCAAATTCAGCCTTACAATATTCAAAAGCTCTGCTACATACTTTAAAACTTTTAAATAATTGTACATTTGAAATCCATTGACATGAATATCTGTCTACCATCAGTTCTTTTGTTTTTCTTCTACATTCTCCTTGACAGAATTCTAACATATCAAAAGTAAATCAACCATGTTTTGTAATTTTCATAAAAAGCTTCCTGTGCTGAGACCCACAAAGGTATTTTTAAGCATAGTCTTAAGTTTATATCTGTTCCATATTCTCAATATGGCACATTTAACAAAACGATTTTTAAAATTTACATAAACCTTAGTTTGATCATATCATAGATATCTATGCTACCCAAATCTTAAATCAAAAGCCTTTTGTTTCTTAGCAGCATCCATTCTTTCATTCAGACCAAACAGCAGGGTACAAAAGATAATTTCAAATTAGGTAAGCCCAGTCCTCTTTTGTGTCTTGTAATACTTTGTATTTCATTTATTGTTTTCCCCTTTGCTAAACAAATTTGGCCATATCTTTCTGCCGTTGTTTAAATCAGGGGTGTCAAACTGCCGGCCCGTGGGCCGGATGCGTCATGCCAAAACTGCGCCCACCCCGTTGCTGCCAATGGGAAAAAAGTCATGATACATCGTGACACGTCATGTGACGTTGCAAGTTTGACACCCCTGGTTTAAATGGTACATCAGATGTCAAAACAAAAATATTCTATGCAAGACCTTAATCTCATCACAGAAATTCTCCCCAACAATGACAATTGTGTTTTCTTGCACTCTAAGTAAGGTATGTTTTTTATTTCATTCCAGGCCTTAACATAATTCTTTTGAAAAAGCATACAATTTATATTTCTCATATTAATACCCAAATATGTTATCTAATTCTCAACCTTGAAACCTATTTTATTCAATTCTATTTGAACTTGTGTCTTCATATTTTTTGTCAACGTTCTTTGTCTTCTGTTTGTTAATCTTATAACTTGCATTTGCACCAAATTCTTTTTATTTCCTCATTAAAGTTTAAATTCCATTTACAATTTCCTTTAGGACAAATACAATGTCATCTGCAAAGCCTCTTAATTTTTTAAAATTTTTTTAAATCTTTACAATCTTTAATCCTCTCCTCTTATGTCTCTGCTTAATATTTCTAAAGCTAAAATAAACAAAAGGAGACTGGACAAAAAAGTCCACTCTCTTATCAATTTTTTTTAATACAACTTATTTTTCATTGTGTTGTTCAAAATATTCTAAAATATCCAACACTGTTCTTTTAACTGTCTTTTAGGTTAAAAACCCAGCTTGATCTTAATGTATAGGTTCTTGTGAAATTATTTTGAGTCTATCAGGATCATTGTGAACAGTTTATAATCTGTAATTATATTGATCTATATCAATTCTCATCAAAGTCAAATCCTGTCCTTTGGATACTTGTGTTACATATGTTTGTAATTATGTAATTGACATCTCAGGCATCTTTCTTCCCTGTAAGGTAAAATTAATTGTATTTTGCAAAGATTGCAAGAGATTATCTTCAAAACATTTATAATAAGATACTGATCATCCATCTGGTCCCGGTACTTTTCCTAATTTAATTTTTTTATACTTTCAGAAACTTCTCATTGTTATAGGAATATTCATAATCTTTCATCGTTTCTCTGTAATCTTTGCTAATTTTATTTTTTAAAATATTACTCTATTTTTCCCCACAGGAATATTATATCCTTATAGAAATTAAAGAATATTGATGAAAAACCTTTTGTATTGCCATATTATTCATTATTACAGTATCTCCCTCTTGAAGTTTCACTACTGTTTTTTTCTTTTCTTAATTTATATGCCATTTTTCTGGTTTATTTTCAATTTTTTTTAATGTAGCTAATTTTTATTTCCATTTCTTTTATTGTTATTGACAACTGTTGCTATAAAGGTTGGTGAGAGATATTTGTCTTCCTTTTAGATTTCTTTAATTCTTCTTTTCTTTTTATTTCATCCAAGATAGGCTGTGCTTTCTCTTGTCCTTCTTTAAGTAAAACATTATATTGTATAAGATATCCTCTCACAAAAGCTTTGTTTGCATAACAAACCATTGTTAAAGTTCATACTTTATTTATTTTCAAAAAACTCTTTATCAGTTACTTTTTACCACCTTTCACTCTTCTTTCTTTCTGTAGCAACATTTCATTTAGTCTCCATTTGAAAGTAATAACTGTCTTTTTATAAAGCAAACTCACAGGGTTATGGTCATAAATAGTCTTTGGTAAAATCTCTACTTTAGCAGTCCTTGTAGCTAAATTCTTTGAAACCCAGATCATATCTATTCTTAAAAAAGATATATGTCTTTTTGAAAAGTAAGAATATTTTTTAGAATTTCCATTTTTCTATCTTCATGCATCCACCAACCCTAAATTATCCATCATATCAAAAAAGGCATTTGGTAATTTACCTTGAGTAGTTTTGATATTTTTCTCAGATGTTTTATATAATTGTGGAAAAATTCTAGTTCCCCATCAAACTCCAATTTTCATAATAAAAATAATTAATTTCCCTATAAGTCTCTTATGAAACTTTGCTTTATCTTCATTTGGGGCATAAATTCCCAATAGTATAGACTTAACCCCATATAATTCAACTTCAGCTCCAACAAATCTACAAAGTTCATAAGTTAATAAAAAGTTTTCTATATTATAAATTAACATAGAAAACAATTCTATTTCTTTTAGTTCTTGCTTTCTATCAAAGTTTTTATATCTTTCTTCCTGGTATGGGTTCTTGTAAGCAAATTATATCCTGTTTTCAATTTTATTAAAATGTATTATAATGTGAAATACAATGAAGATAAGGATTAAAAGGGGGAAAGGGGTTGCAGGATAAAAAGAAGAGGCAAAGAAATAAAAAGCATTGATTATTGACTCTTTCCAAATACTAAGTATCCTTACAACCTCAGCTTTTCACTTTGCATTCAGTTACTGCAAGTTATTTCTTTAACTACAAAATTATCCCATCTTCAAACTGAAGTCAGAGATTCATTTCTTTTATTTTGACTAGAAGCAATTGCCAGATGGAAACAAAACTGGATAGGATCTTTTCTTTGTTTAAAACAATTAACATAGCCGTTACAATCATCTCCATTTTTTTTTATCATTGTGAGAAACAGTACATCTTTCCATTTATGTTTATTGGATATTCTACACTGCCAATATCAAGTGGGTGATGAAAATCAAAATGTAAATACTGATCTATGTGTGGGGGTTTTCTGTAAACTTCACTTTTATAATAGATGCAAATACCTCCTAAAGATTGGTCAAATGCATGCATCAGAACAAGCTATGTTGTCTACAGTGACCACATGGTGTATTAGGGGAACAATGACTATAAATAAATATTCAAGTGTACCTGAGAACATGCAAATTCTATACATTCCAGCTCGCCAATCTTACTCAGCTCCTGTTCAACTCATAATGTTTCTTCCCAGGTAATCTCCAGTTTCTCTCTACAGCAGGTAAAAGGGGAATTATATAGGTGCTTCTTTTAAATTTAAGCTTTCAAACTTCATCAATTTAAAAAAGTGTTTTCCAGTGCAAATTATGGACAAAGGCTCAACCACAGATATTTGTTTAGACGGCAAGAGGAGCGTTTTTCTCCTAAGATTTCTTCAGCTCTATCTCCAGTTCCTACTGCGATGATTGTCAAAGTCGTAAGACTCAGCACCCAAACACTAACATTAAGCTTTCTCCTTTGTGCATTGTGTAAGAGGCACCAGAACTGAGGGTTTAAAAAAAAAAAGAGTCCTGCTAATGCAGCGACCCAACACTTGCCTGTTACTGTGGGGGTGGGGAGAAGGGGAGGAATAAAAACAGATGGATTTATCAGCAATCCAAGAGCTTTATGGAACAAATTCTTCCATCTCCAGTAATCCCCTCCTGATACAGAGGATTTCCCTACCATTAAATGATAGCTTTTGAGAATGAGGGTAAAAGCCCAGACAGTGAGAGACACAACACATCTGATGATAAAGGCTGGACAAAAGGTGGCACAGCTCTCATCTTGGCAGGTGAGCACATTTCATCTTTCTTGCAGAAATTCCACAGAAAGATGGTTGATTGATGGTTGGGATCAGAGATGTTCATTTCCGCGCCATTTGTGCATTTATTTCAGTACTGCCATTTTCCCCCATACGATGCTTTTCCAGACTTCTTGCAGACCTCATTTCTCAACAAGCATCGTAGACATAGGGGAGCTGAAGTTCAGCGGAAGACAGCAACAAGCGGCTATAAGCTTGTTTTACCACGCATTCCACAGGCATATTTAACTGAGTGGAAATAAGAAAGGCTGCAGGGACCATTATTTTCTGAAAAACCATTTTCGGGCAGCAATCCAGGGAACAATCATACGGGAGTAGCCCCATTGAAACCAGCCCTTAATTCACCTCTGAATAAGTGTGCTTATTGTGGGAGGTTACAAAATCAGAAAACAAGCAAAAGAGGAAATGGATAACGTGCATTTTAAAGAATTCTTTTAAAATCCAGAAGCAGAAGGAGCCATTACAAGTAAGCATGAATGGAATACTTTTGTGCTTTTGTTTGTTTTTAGATTTGCAAGAACATTTGTCATGTCTGAGATGCCATAGTGAACAATCAGGGTAATGTTGGCCATCATTTTAAATGGTAAGTAACTTCTAATTCCAAGAGACTCCACAGATTTTTTTAAACACTAAAATCTAGTTCTTTTATTTCGAAAGCATTTATCATACATTTGTTTGCCTTTCATTTTTGTTTGTGCCTCTGCAACCAAGAATATCTGACTACCAGCATTATCTTTAAAAAAGAGCAAAAAAAAAATCTATTCTGATACTTGGATATTCCTGACAAGAAATTGTATCCATCTATCCATCTACCATTTTGTCTGAAACACAACCATTTCATCTTCCACTGTACAACTTTCTGACAATTCTGTCTCAAAGGATTTCACTTTTTCTGATTAGCAAAATGGATACTTGTGAGCTGATCAACAAACTACAAATACTGCAATTTCTTGATATATTTAATAGTTAAATATATGTGGAAAAGTGGAAAAAGGGTTTTTCTTGTTTGTTTGTATTAGACATTCCACTCAGAATAACAGAATCACCCAAATCACAGAGTTGGAAGGGATCTTGGAATTCTTTTAGTCCAAACCCTACTAAGGCAGGAAACCTATTCAAGAGAAAGGAATTGCTTGATAATTATTTCTTAATATAACATACGTTATAAATGTTATCCTGTAAAATAGCAGAGGCAATCAGTTTTGAATGTGGATTACATAAGATAGCATTTGACTTGTTCAGACAATGAATCAGATGTATTCCTGTCCCCTGGAACAAGAACCCTTGAAGATCGGACCAGGGCCCCATCTTGTCAGGATTATGTAGTCTGCAATACTCAAATGGAAGCATTCAGGAAGCTCAGAACAAGAACAGGAAGGTGATTGATTGACTTCTCCCTCTGGAGCTTTCTAGAAGCAAGCATTTCGGATATGTTCCTTGTGATCAGAAGTGGTAAAAGTCATAACTGTAGTCAATGGTAGCCCAAGTCTCCATGAATTTGTCTTTCAAAATATGTGGCCATTACATCTCATGGTCACAAATTTTACAGTAAGGTATACAATACTTCCTTGTATTGGTCCTGAATCTCTCCATATTTATTTGTAACAGAGGACTTCAAAATGTATTGTTGTGAAAAATGGCCAAAACCCTTTTTATCTTCATTTTCCATATCTTCCACTATTTTCTATCATGTGTCTCATGATCTGCTTTCTCTTCAAATTAAAAATAGTATATAATTATTTCTGTTTTGACTGCCTAATAATGCTGGTTAGGATTATGTGTATGTGTTTTTTCCAGCTTTCCTTTGAAGTGCAGTGACCAAACTGAACACAATGTTTCAAGAGCATTCTTATAGAAACCATTACCATATTGACTATTTTTAATTTGCTTCTTAACGATTCCAAGTATAGAATTTGAGCTATTGATCAGGATTCTAAAACCCATTTCCTGCCCAGTCACTGCAAAGTTTACACACATATGCACACAATAGGATTTGCTGAGTGGTAGCGCACCTGCTTTGTATGCAAAGGATTTCAGTCTCAGCAACTCAGTTTCACACAATTGCACGAAGCATTAAATTGGGTTGGTTTTATTTGACATAGGATGTTATATGAATGTAATCATTGTTCCTTATTTAAGCTAACTATGGCTTTCTCTGATGCATTATCCCAGCCATTTTAACACAGTTCCATATATAACTTTGCCAATGTTTTTTGTTCTATGGCATAAATGGGGACTCAAACCTTTAAAT